TATCCAAAACAAACGTCCGCAAATCAGATGACACGACTATGAAGTTAATCATCGATCTACGACCTAGGGCGTCCTGGTGCCACATGCACTTATGGACACCTTTATGTTCGAACATGGTGTTCGTGATGGACAAACTATGACTAGCACAGAAGTCCAACAATGGAACACCACTCTGGTTCAGATCAGAAAGGCCGTTCCTCCTTATCACGCCCCTCCAGGTCACACTGTCATTACCCATCTGGACATTGGAGTCCCTCAGCAGAATAAAGGAGTCCCCAGCTGTCGCATCTTCCAGCACCCCTGCCAAGGATTCCAGGAAGGCTGAATACTCTGAACTGCAGTTCGACGTATAGGCACAAACAACAGTCAGAGCTCGTCCTCCCATCCGAAGGTGAAGGGAAGCCACCCTCTCATCTACTGGGGAAAACTCAAACACACAGGCACCAAGTCAGGGGGCTAAGAGTAGACCCACACCAGCTCAGTGCCTCTCACCATGAGCAACTATAGAGTAGAATAAGGTCCAGCCCCTCTCAAGGAGATCGGTTCCAGAGCCCATGCTGTGCGTCAAGGTGAGCCCAACTATATCTAGTCAGTACCTCTCAACCTGGCGCACAAGCTCAGACTACTTCCGCCAGAGAGGTTACATTCCATGTCTCAAGAGCTAGCTTTGGTAAGCCAGGGTCAGAGCACCAAAATGCCCATCTTCGGCCACTTCCCATGACATCATGCACCCGACTTTTATGGCCCTTCCTGCAGGTGGTGGGTCCACAGGAAGGCAAACCCATGCTGCTCCTTCGGGCTGAGCCAGACTGGGCCCCATGGGTAGAGACCCAGTCACCAGGCGCATGCTGACGAGCCCCTCCCCCAGGCCTGGCTCCAGGGTGGGGCCCCGGTAACACGTCTGTTCAAGGGACACTGAGTTCCTTGTTTTGTCTTGTCCATAAAAATCTGAAACGCTCTTTGTCTGGCCTGTCGCCTAGGACCAATCTGCTTTGGGAGACCCTATCATCATCATCATCAACTTTATTTATAAAGCGCTTTAACAGCAGCCACAGCTGAAACAAAGTGCTGAACATCAGTAATAAATTAGATAAAAGCAAGCATAAAAACAAAGTTACAAAGCCAAGCACACAATAATGAATTCAAAACTCTATTTAAAACACAATAAAACGACGGGTTAAACAGATAAAATCAATATCAATAAAAATGAAGTAAAATCAAGTCTCAGTTGGTTGAAGGCCGATGAGTAGAGATGAGTTTTCAGACGGGTTTGAAACATGGACAGTGAGGGGTCGGTCGAATGTGCAAAGGCAGAGTGTTCCATAACTTAGGGCCACTAACAGAGAAGGTCCTGTCTCCTCTGAGCTTCCTCTTACTCTTGGGAATGACCAGAAGCAGCTGGTCAGAGGATCTGAGTGACCGAGGGGGATTGTAGTGGTGGAGAAGCTCTGTTAAATAAGGGGGAGGACTGGCGATCGGGCGGAAGGCTTTTTAAAACCTTTAAAACAAACAAAGTAATTTTAAAATGAACTCTAAAATACACGGGCAGCCAGTGGAGAGAAGCCAGAACAGATGTGATGTGCTCTCTTTTACGTGTTCCTGTTAAAAGACGTGCAGTGGCATTAGCAGCAATAGCATTAGTAGCATTAGCAGTTGTATCGTTTTCATCACAGAAGGATGAGGTCAGAGTTGTTCTGGGATTCTCAAGTGAATGAATTGGTCTGTGGTTTGAAGTTTTTCTTCTGGAGCTGAGTGTGTTTGATGCAACACATCTGCTGGTTTTTAACAGATCCAGCAGGTCAACAATTAAAAACTGGGCCTTGGTACTTGACTTTAGCTGATTCTGATTGGAGCTGTGTTCACTGCTGGATGATTCTCCAGATTTTCATTCAAACTTTATTTGTACAGGTTAGTTTCATTGAATTACAAGAACTCATTTTCAAGAGAGACCTGATTTAAACCAAAGAAACACAGATGAGGTATGCAGCAGATTAAGTCATCTGGTATTCTTCTGCCACCGTTCCTGAAGAAGGATCTGACCTCCATCAGTCAGAGATCTTTCCAGCAGTTGGCTGTGTCTGCAGCTGAGGTCTCTTGGAAAAACTGGAGCCGCGGTTGGTTTATTGGAATGAAATATGAGGTTCAGAGTTTTGCCTTTTGTGTGACGGAGCAGACAGTCGGCAGAGCTGAAGCTTCTGGAAACATTTAGACCATATCCTGATTCACCACAGAACGACTCCAGATGATCGTCAGCTCGGTTGGTTTCTGTTTCTCTGGTAAATCTGTTTGGTTTGCTGCATACGTTTCTCTGCGAACCTCCTCTTCTTCTCCTGGCATCAAAAGGCCAAGGCGGGTTTTGCCTGTGTCCATGTGTTCATTTGTCTGTTAACAGAATGTCTCATAAACCGCTTTAATGACACTTCAGGAAATCATTTTTAGATGCATATCTATGATGGATAAACTTCTGCAGTTAACCCAATTCAAGATGGCCACCATAGCCAATGATTTTAGAAAACACAAAAATGGAATAAGGATAAGCCCCTCCAGATTTCATGTCATAGTCCTCCGTCAGAGGGTGGACCATCTTCTCCAGGTTGGGAGTGAGGTTCTGCCTCAAGTGGAGGAATTCAAGAGTCTCTGGTTTTGAAGGATGGACTGGGAGATCTGCATGGATCAGTGCAGCTTCTGAAGTCTTGTGGACTTTGTGCCGGTCTATGGGGGAATTTTACTGACACAAATGGAGAGCACGCATTTTCAGTTTGAAAGCAGGAATCCATCTCTTTGTTCTCAAAACTTGTAATGCTTGCTCTCAAAAATTTTGCTCTCTTTCAAATATTCTCTGTGCTCTCTCAAATCTTTGGGTTAGCGCTCAGATTTTCTGTTCGCACACAAAACTTTTCTCTGCATGGATCAAATCTCTACTCGCAAACCTCTCTACTCGCTTGCAAATTATTTTGTGCTCTCGCAGAACAAAGAGTACCGTTGCCTGGCAACCGTCCCAGCCAATAGTATGAAAGTGTTAAACTGGGCAGTGGGAGACTCCTCTAGGGTGCGTTTGTTTCCTTCTAGTGGGTGTGTCTGTGTGGCTACTAGTAGGCTGTTAGCGATCAATAATCAATCAACCTTTATTTATACAGGTAAATCCCATTGAGCCTCAAGGACTCATTTACAAGAGAGACCTGATTTCAACAAACAAAGATGACAACAATAGACAACAGCAACAACAATAAACAGTTATTAAAAAGCATACTACATTTTTTTTTTTTTTTTTTTTTTTAACAAATAGGATGGTTAAAAGGAAAAGGTAACAAAACAAAAAAACAGCTAGATTCCAAGACAAATGTATAAAACTAACAACAGGAACATGTCTGCATTGGACCCTGCCAGGTGTCCAACAGATTCTTAAAGACACTTAGAGAGGTCAAAGGTCGAGAGCTTCAGATCTTTTTACAAGATGTTCCAGGAAACAGGAGCGGAGTAGGAGAAGGTCCTTTTGTCTAGTTCAGTCCTCACTGAGGGAACACTGCAGGTAATGATGTCCTGAGAGCGCACGCTGTAGCTGCACTCACACAGAGACATGTAGGAGGAGATGTATGAAGGCAGCAGACCAGGAAGTGATTTAAAGATGGAAATGTACCAGTGGGAGAGTCTGTGTGAAGTTAATGATGTCCAGTTAACCAGTGAATACTGGGTGCAGTGGTGGGTACGATAATCACAGCCAGTTATGAATCAATGCGCTGCTGGTGGATATTTAGTGAGGAAGAGAACACAGATTAACTGTCTGTCATGTAAGTCAATGCAAAGCTATTGATCGCAGCCTGTATGAGCAAAATCCTTATCTTTAAATTGTAACATGGAGCAGAAAGCTGAGGTTGTTTCTCCTACAGCCAGTGGGCGGAGCAGAAAGAGCAGGTGCTACAAGTGATAGTAGCCACACAGGCACACCCACTAGAAGGAAACAAACACACCCTAGAGGAGTCTCCCACCTCCCAGTATAACTCTTTCATTCTACTGGCTGGGACGGTTGCCAGGCAACGGTACTCCTTGTTCTGCGAGAGAGCAGAAAAGAATTTGCAAGCGAGCAAAGAGGTTTGCGAGTGGAGGTTTGATCCGTGCAGAGAGAAGTTTTATGAGTGAGCAGAAAATCTGTGCGTGAACACAAAGATTTGAGAGAGAGCACAGAGAATATTTGAAAGCGAGCAGAAGTTTTGAGTGCAAGCGTTATAAGTTTTGAGAACAAAGAGATTAATTCCTGCTTTCAAACTGAAAATGTGTGCTCTCGACTTCTGTCAGTAAAATTCCCCCGTACCAGTCTGATGTGGTGAATAGGGAGCTGAGCTGCAGGAGAAGCTGTCTGTTTGCCGATCGGTCTACATTCCTACCCTCACCTATGGCCACAATCACTGAAAGAACCAGATCCTGGAGGTGGGCAGTATGGGATTCTAGAGCTTCTAGTTTACGTATCCTCCAGGAGCAATTTGAGATAAGTTGGCCTGTCCAAGTCCAGTGGAGAGGCCAAATTCAGACAAACAACAATTGTTTGGGCTGCCGGACTGTTTTCTGTCTGCCTTCAGTTTTGCTGCTACACTCAATGGTGAATCCAAACAACCAGATTTATGGACATTCCACTCGGTCCATGCTCGATTTAGCATTCTCCAAGATTGAATCCTTCATGCTGGCGAGTTCCAGAAGCCACAAGTGGCCCACGATTCTCAGAATCACGTCCAGCTTGCGATTGAGCTCGTTAAGAATATGAGTTTGAGAGCTCAAGGCACGGATTAAACCTACACATAAGGCTGGCAGCTTTACCATGGCCGAAACTGCTGTCAACGTCTTCCTAATTTGTCGATATCCAAGGTATCCATGATTCCATACAACAGAAACCCTGTTAGCATAAATCCAATAATGTACACATTTGATTTGACTTTCTAATCTTCCTAAATAGCATCTGTTTATACCCTGTTTTAATTGTTTTCATGGTTTCTGTTCTTTGGTTCCAGAGCTGGGTCCTCCTAAGAACCTGGTCACCAGTGATGTGACCCCCAGCAGTTTTGTGGTGTCCTGGACAGCAGCCCCTGGAAACGTCAAAACATATCAAGTCAGGTGGAAGTCTCTGTTTTCTGAAGAGCATGGAGAGAAAACGGTGCCAGGAAGTTTAACTTCCACGGTCCTGGAAGGTCTGAGTCCAGAGACGCTGTACCAGGTGTCTGTGGTCTCCTCCTATGGCTATAGAAACAGCGACCCGCTCACGGGACAGGAAACCACCGGCGGTAAGACTTCACAAACCATAAGCTGTTAGAGGAAGTGATGACAGGTTGCTCACATCAAGACTAGCACAAAAACTGAATTTGTTTCCTGTTTGGATGAGAAAACTCTGAGCTCAGATACAAGCAGACTGTCCTGCTGTCCAAACAGAATACTCAAAGACACAGCGCACCCTGTGCTGTCATTTACATGTCCACGCATGTCCACACTCATCTGTGCACATCTACAAAGATAGTCTGAGTAAATCAGTCTGTAGGTCCCATTCTGATACTGATGGGACACATCAGAGACAATGAGGGGTTCAGTGTCTTCTAACATGTGGCTTCATACTGTTGGAATTGAACCTTTTCGAATCACTTTGTGTAGTGGTGTGTTTGTGGAGCTTTGGTTCCCAGTTTGTGAAAGGAGTCTGGATTCAGGCTTATTTGAGCCCATCTGTGTGAGTTTTGCTGTTTTTGACCTCCAGACTAATCAAACTCTAATCTGAGAGGGAGCTGGCGCAGCATGGGTGTCCCGTCATCTTCTCACTGCATCAAAGATCAGACGCTCTAAAAATGTCAACAACACATTCCTGTTTCTGGATGCACACCCAGGAACTAAACCCAGCCCATAAGGCCTCCAGGCACCAAAAACCAAACCTGCACATCAACAAGTTCGAAAAACATGCAAACTGTTCTGACAGAGCTGGTTCCTGCAGGGAAACGTTGGACGCTCTGGTCGGTTCCACCAACAGAGACTGCAGTGGGCGGAGTTTTCTTTGTCCGTGCAGAGTTCCTCCAACACTTACAGACAGCCCGATTCTGATCCACTTAGATTAACAGAACCAGTTAGATTAACACATTTATGGATTTGGGGGATCCACTGTGTGAGACACAGGGGACACCTGGACAGGTGTCAGGTTCATCACAAGGACACACAGAGACAAACAACTTGGGGACAATTTAGAGTGACCAAAGAAGCTATTGTTCAGTTTTGGGCTGGAGAGAGGAAGCTGGAGTACTTGCAGAGACCCTCACATGCACAAGGAGAACCTTCAAACTCCACCCAGAAAGGATGGGAGGCGAACCTGCGACCTTCTTGCTGTGAAGCGACACATCTTTCCACTGCTCAATTGCTCCACAGTCATAAATTAAATTAAATTAAAAGGTTAATATTTGTTTTGAGTTTGACGGATGTTTGTTCGAGCTGTAACAGAAGTCTGAACTGTGAGCTGTGACGATGTGCGGGTCAGAACCCAGAAGGTTTGAGAAGTTCTGTTTCAGATGATAAACCACCTGAAAACGTTTTCTCTTTAGCTTCTGCTGCAGACAAACAGCTGACGGTGTCCCACGAGACAGAGCGCACCATGAAGGTCACCTGGACCCCCGCTCCAGGAAAGGTGCTCAACTACCGCCTGAGGTACGTCCCCACTGCTGGAGGCAAAGAAGTGATCCTGAAGGTCCCTGGGGCGGTGTCCTCCACCGTCCTCAAGCGCCTGCAGCCCATCACCACCTACGGCATCACGGTCCAACCCTTCTACAAACATGGGGAAGGACAAGCAAGGCAAGGAGTAGGAACCACACGTACGTTGGTCCATCATGCACCGTCTGAGAGACACATCCACCTAACCTGTCTTTAGGACACTGCAGAGACACGTCCACTTCATGTGCACCTTTGAACCCACAATTATTTGATTTTTAGTTTAAAGACAAACTGTATAAATGAGTCTTGTCTTTCTAACTTCAGGTTTAGGATCTTAAGTTCTGTGCAGGTTCTGTCTGAGTGAGTTTGTCCTGAAGTTTTGCTTCTTTATTTAATTTCAGTGTCGCCTTTTAAAGCTCCCAGGAACCTACAGACCTCTGAGCCTTCCAAGAACAGCTTCAGGGTCTCCTGGGACCCTGCACCTGGAGATGTTAGGGGTTACCGTGTGACCTTTCACCCCTCAGAGGCTGACGTTGACCTGGGAGAGCTCCTTGTGGGTCCGTATGATAACACCGTGGTTCTGGAGGAGCTCAGGTAAGAAGCAGAAGAAGCCCCGCACTGATGATTGAACACAGGCAGAATGATGGCAGCCTGTCGTCTGATTGACAGGAGGAGGTGCTGTGATTGACAGGAGAAGGTGGTGTGATTGACAGGAGGAGGTGCTGTGATTGAGAGTGTCAGGATTTGGTGGACAGGAACGAACCCAGTAGTGCAGACAGGACTCAACTCGGCAGATTACAAAAATAAGTATTTTAATAGTGAATAAAGAACAAAAATAAACAGCTGACGTGGCAGCAAAACTTACATGAAAACGGTAGGCTCAGAGGGAAACTCAGGAAGGACTCAGGAAGCTCAGGGGAGACTCAGGAGAACGCAGGAGAATACAGAGACCCAACGAATGCGACCCGACGACGAACAAAACAGAACAGATGGCTTAAATACAGGGACAAGACGAGACGTGATTACAAACAGCTGTGACGAGACAAGGGTGGCACCAATTAAACTGACGAGGAAACACTAGGGAAACACAGACACAAACAGAGCCAGCAAATGGTACCATCCTTACAGAGAGGGGGTGGTGGTGTGATTGACAGGAGAAGGTGGTGTGATTGACAGAAGTGCCACAATAGCACATTGACGGTAGTGATGTGCAAATTGATACTAAAATACCATACCATACCATTTTATTTATAGAGCACTTAAAACAGCTACAAGGCCAACCAAAGTGCTGTACAGACAGAACAACAGGTAACACACAAAGCAAAATACAAAATGAGGTAAATCAGAATATAGACATAAAAACGATGCAGATAATGACAACAAACCAGTGTGGAGCATACAGGATCAAACACAGATCATCTGGTGTTGAAAGCTACTGAATAGTAGTGAGTTTTTAAACGGGACTTGAAAACCGAGAGGGAGGGGGCCTGTCTGACAAGCAGAGGTAACTCGTTCCAAAGTCTTGGTCCTGCTACAGAGAAGGCCCTGTCACCTCTGCGCTTAAGACGAGTTCCTGGAACTGTGAGGAGCAACTGGTCCGCTGACCTCAGGGAGCGTGGTGGGACATACGGTTGTAGCAGATCAGAGAGATGGGGGGGAGACACTGTTCAGTGATTTGTAGACATGAGTATTTTGAACTAGATTCGAAGGTGAACTGGTAACCAGTGCAGTGAGGCCAAAACTGGTGTAATGTGCTCTCTTTTGCCTGTACTGGTTAAAAATGGGGCTGCTGCATTCTGGACCAGTTGTAGTCGTGCAATGGAGGTCTGACTGATACCAAACAGGAGTGAACTGCAGTAATCAAGCCTAGATGTAATGAAAGCATGTATTACTGTCTCCAGGTTCTTTTTGGACAATATGGGCTTCAGTTTAGACAGCTGCCTCAGTTGGAAGAAACATGATTTAATTATTTTTACATGATTGTTAAGTTTCAGGGAAGGGTCCATTATCACGCCCAGATTAGTGACTCTTTGTTTTTCTGACAGGGTTAGAGCGGAGAGGTCGATGCAGTGGTTTGTGATCGTGTCGTTGGGAGGGAACAACATGACTTCAGACTTCTTTTCATTGAAACTTAAGAAGTTTAAAGCCATCCAGTCCCTGATGTCAGCCAGGCAGTTGAGCAGCGGTTGAATAGAGCATGTACCATTGTGTCTTAGGGGGAAGTAAATTTGACAGTCATCGGTGTAGAAGTGGAAGGGCATGTTGTGTTTCCAGAAAATAGCACCAAGCGGCAGCAGGTATAAAGAGAATAGGAGGGGACCCAGTATGGACCCCTGCAGAACCCTTTGGTGTCAAAGGTGGCTGTGAGGTCCAACAGGACAAGCAGCACAGAATCACCGGTATCTGTGGATCTGAAGATGTCGTTAAAGACCTTCAGCAGGGCAGTTTCAGTGCTGAGGAGAGGTTTAAAGCCAGATTGGAAAAGCTCTAAGATGGCCTGATCCTCCAGGAAGCACTTCAACTGGGACTCAACTACTTTCTCCAGTACTTTAGAAACAAATGGGAGTTTGGAGACAGGCCGGAAGTTGGAAACGACTGAGGGGTCAAGGTTTGTTTTTTCAGGAGAGGCTGGACAGCAGCATGTTTAAAGGATTTTGGTACCACGCCAGTGGATAAACTACTGTTTACTATATCAAGAATGGACGGACCTAGAGTTGGAAAAACCTCCTTTAGTAGTCGAGGGGGGACCACATCAAAGGTGGAACCAGAAGGTTTCAAGCTGCACATGACCTGCTCTAGAGAAGATAGAGTGATGGGTTCAAAATGGTCAAAAGGAGCTACAGATTGAGGTGGGATGGATGGGTCATGAGTTGGAGGGGAAATGAGAGCCCTGGTGGTCGCAACTTTTTTCCAAAAAGAAATGTAGGAAGTTGTCGCACAGCTCAGTCGAGGCTTCCAGAGGTGATGGTTCAGTGAGGTGGAGAACAGAGTTTAGGGTGGAGAAGAGGACACGTAGGTTGTGAGAGTTTGAGGTAATTATATCAGAGAAGTATTTTGATTTAGCAGCTTTCACTGCTTTCTGATAACGGCACCAACTCTCTTTAAGTATCTGGAAAGAGACCTGCAGCCTGTCTTTCCTCCACTTTCGCTCCGCCCTCCTACATTGCTGCCTAACGGCCTTGGTGACGTCACTCAGCCAAGGTTCTGCTCTGAGTTTTGATTTTTTGGTTTTAACAGGTGCGACATGATCCAGAGTCTTTAAGCAGACAGAGTTGAACTGGGATGTCAGCTCCTCAGTGGTGGTGAGAAACACCGGGGGCTGAATGATCATTTCAGAGTTATAAACATCTGTGAAACGTGCGGCAGTGAAATGGTTAATGGTCCGAGTCCTACGTGCAGGAATGCACGACTTAGGAGTTAGATGGGGGAGGGTGAACTCAAACTGGACTGACATGTGGTCTGAAAAATCATTATCACCAATTTCAAGATTATTAACAGTCACATCATGAGTTAAAACAAGGTCCAGTGTATGTCCGCGCTCTTGGGTGGGACCGTTTACATGCTGAGTTAAATTAAATGAGTCCAATAGATCTAAAAAGTCCTTAACCAAGGGCTTCTCAGGACAGCACACGTGCAAATTAAAGTCCCCAATAATGAAAAGATGCTCATATTTTGGTGTGATTTCAGCCAAGAAGTCAGAAAACTCATTTATGAAATCCTTTGATCGAGGTGGGCGGTAGACGAGTGCAAATAACGTCGGAGGTGAATGTCCGAGTTCAAAGACGCTCAGCTCAAAGCTGGCACGGGAAACTGGGCTGGGCAGTTGTTTACAGTCAAAAGTTGATTTGGATATTCTTAATAATCCACCACCGCGCCGGCCTGATGGCCGCGGGGCGTTAAAACACAGACGGTTTGGTGGCAGTAATTCCGTCAAGGCGCTGGACTCACCCGAAGACATCCAAGACTCTGTGATGCAGAAAAAGTCCAGATCGTGCTCTTGAAAGTAGTCCCAGAGGATAAAAGTTTTGTTAGTAACAGATCTTGCGTTGACCAAACACATCTGGATATTGTCCGAAGTGGAGCCAGCAGTGGTGGAGTTAGCGCGCGCTAATCGCCACAGGTTTTCAATAACAGCCCCTCCAGGTCGGTCCGGGCTGCGCAACGGCTGACAACTCCCGCTGGTTACCTGGTCCGGGCACGCGGGAAGCTGAAGACCATGACCGCCAGCTGGAGAGGAAGATGCAGCGCGCAGAGCTTTCAGCTTCACCAGCTGACCAGCACGTTTTCCCCGGCGTCTGAAGCGATATCTCCGGGCAGGCAGGTGAGGAGCGCAGCAAAGGTAAGCTGGCACGTCCGCCAGCGGGGGGGAGGAGGGGGGGTCCAGAGGTACGCTGATAATGGTCCAGATAAGCGACATCAATGCCAGAAAAACGAAGATCCAAAAGTTGTTGTCTGTCATACACCAGCAGAGAGTTGATGCCATTGATGAGGAATACAAAAGACAAAAATAATCGGAACACCATCAGCAGAGGTGGATTGCAAGCCATGTACACGGGCGCCATCTTACCATAAGTCCGCTAAAATATTGATACTATTGATACTGGGCGGCTGTGGCTGAGTGGTTAGAGCAGTCGTCCTCCAATGCAAGAGTTGGGGGTTTGATTCCATCAGCAGTCACATGCCAAAGTGCAAGACACTGAACCCCTCATTGCTATTGATGTGTGTCCCATCGGTGCATGAATGTGAGCTAACGCTCTGATTAGTGTTTGTAGAGATTTAGTAGAGTGCTGTATGAGTGGTGGCGCAGAGGTTAGAGAAAGTGGGCCTGTGATCGGAAGATCGCCGGTTCAAGCCCCGGCACCGACAACATCAAAAATGTGGGTGGGGTAGGTGAAGCACCCACACCTGCCTCCACCCTCATTCGTCCCACTCTGGGCCCTTGAGCAAGGCCCTTAACCCCCACCATCTGCTCCTGTGGGTGTCCTAGATGCAGCTCTCTGCTCCACACAGAGGCTGTGGTAGCTCGGTGTCTGTGGTTGTGTCAGGAAGAACATCCGGCGTAAAAATTACTGCCAAGTCTTCGTGCGACTTAGTTCACTGTGGCGACCCTAACGCAGGGAGCAGCCGAAAGAAGAAAAATAAAAGTAGAGAGCTGTATGAATGTGTAAATGAGGCACAGATTGTTGTAAAGAGCTTTGAGTTCTTGATAAGATAGAAAGGTTCTGTAAGCGTAGTCCATGAGTATTTATTATCAATACCAGAACTTTTCACTCTAGAATCGATTCTTAAATCAAACTATCAATACAAGTTCAAGTTATGTTTATTTGTCATATGCAGGTTAACACAGGGTTAACAGTACAATGAAATTGTACTGTTAACTTAATTGAACTTAATTGAACTTGAGCATGCATCAGGATAGTACAATGAAATGCTTAGGATGAGAAGATCCCGTCTGACACTAAAAAACCAAAGAACAAACAAACTATACTAAAACCATGCAATAAGTGTAAACCTCCTAAATCATTCAACCTTTATTTAGACAGGTAATCCCACTGAGCCTCAAGGACTCATTTACAAGAGAGACCTGATTTCAA